TCCTGAAGGATGGTCAAATGAGTTAGAAAGTAACAGATTATTACAATATTCCATGCCAGATAAAGTATCAACATTTAAGGAGAATGGATTAAGTACAAAAAGAGTTCATTAAGACAAGACAAGTCAGAAAAAGTCATGAGAAGTAGAAAACTTATTAATAGTATCTAGAATAAGGATGAAATTTCAAAAAGAACCTTCATACTGTCAATATAACAAAGAAATCAAGCAAATAAGAATTGAAAAGTATTATTAGATTATGCAGTTGGGTAACCTTAATTATGTAAAAGAGGTGTGGTCAGAATATAAACCAGATAAAATACATTGATAAATTCAAAAGAAACAAACAAGAGGAATCAAAGGAATCAAGCTGACAAGAAAAGGTGATTAGAGTAAGGAAAGGTAAGAGGCTGCAAGGCTTCTTTCCAAAGGAAAATGAAATGACCATTCCTAAAACTCACTATACATTATCTCATCCAGAACATGCACTGCTGGATGAGGCAGTCAGTCATGGGCCTGAATGTCTCTGCACATTCTTGCTGAGTGTGCCAGTCTGTAAAGCTTTCTATTTCCTGATACTGAGCTGTTTCTTCTAAGAAGTTACATAGGCAACAAAGATCAGGCAACCACAGTGTGTAACTGCCATCCCAAGAGGAGGTGAACTAGCTTGTTTGTTGTCTGCTAAGATACTTGCTGCTTGTGGCTGGGCACAGTGGCTCACGCCTCTAATCCCAGCACTTTGGGAGGCTGAGGTGGGAGGATCACAAGGTCAGGAGTTCAAGACCAGCCTCATCAACATGATGAAACCCTGTCTCTACTACGAACACAAAAATTAACTGGGCATGGTGGCATGTTCCTGGAATCCCAGCTACTCCAGAGACCGAGGCAGGAGAATTGCTTGAACCGGGACCCACGAGGCAGAGGTGGCAGTGAGTCCAAATCACCACAACTGCACTCCAGCCTGGGCTACAGAGTGAGACTCCACCTCAAAAAAAAAAAAAAAAAAAAAAGATCTTTGCTGCTTGCTTTTTCTAAAAAAAAAAAAAAAGCTGTACCCTTGGTTCTGAGTTTCTGAGTTCCTCAGCTGTGATGCAAACCCACTGCACACATCCATATGGACACCCAGCCCCTTTGTGGAATTTGGTAGCTAGGAAAACCTACACAAATATGCTGATGTTCGTGCTGCTTGCTGTGCCATGAGTAATGATCTGTCTCTGACCTGGAGGTCTCCTCTTTTCTGCCAGCAACCATGAAACGTTAACACACTCTTATCAACTTGTAAAAAGGGTACTTATTTATCATGTATCAGACTTTATACGTTTTACATCTATTATATTATTTCTCATAATAATCCTAGTCAGGTAGGTCCTAATATGAGAAAACTGAGGCTTCAAGATGTAAAGTAAGCCAAGGTCTCAAAAATTGCAAACCAGCACAATCTAATATATAAGCCCAGATGGTTTTAAAACCTGTAGGATTTTTACCCATTAATAGTCAAGCCTCTTTCCCAGCTGATTTATCAAGGGCAATTCCAACTCCCCAGATACAAGAGCAAAGAACTCAGATCTTTGCAGAATAAATACTTCAAATTATGTTCCATAGAAAATTAGTATTTTGGAAATGTTAACATAATCTTAAAATTTTAAAAACAAAGAACAAAACAAAACAAAGATTAGGAAGAGCTTGGTTAAACAAATTCAAATCACTTTCCTTACTCCAGAATTATTCATTGTTTTAATATGCTAATATATATTTTAATAAGCTAATGTCTTATAAATCTTTCAGTTACACTTATTCTGAAATACAGTTCAGGAAATTATTGCTACAAACAACACTGCCAATTTAACTTGTACACCGAACAAGTAGTTAGCTTGGTACAGGTACAATCTTAGAAGTCAGCTTGGTACAGGTACATAATCATTTTATTTTGAGAGAGAGTCTTGCTCTGTCACCAGGCTGGAGTGCAGTGGCACGACCTTGGCTCACTGCAATCTCCAATTCCCTCGTTCAATTCCCAATTCTCCTACCTCAGTCTCCCAAGTAGCTGGGAATACAGGCACCCGCCACCATGCCCAGCTAATTGTTGTATTTTTAGTAGTGACAGGGTTTTACCATGTTGGCCAGGCTGGTCTCGATCTCCTGACCTCGTGAGATCCACCCACCATGGCCTCCCAAAGTGCTGGGATTACAGGCGTGAGGCACCTTGCCCAGTCCATAATTCTTAAATGTGGCCCATAAAATAGAGAACTTCAGCTGGACTCCATGGCTCATGCCTGTAATCCCAGCACTTTAAGAAGCCAAGGGGGACAGACCATTTAAGGTCAAGATTTCGAGACCAGCCTAGCCAACATGGTAAAACCCCATCTCTACTAAAAATACAAAAATTAGCCAGGCGTGGTGGAGCACAACTGTAGTCCCAGCTACTCAAGAGGCTGAGGCAGGAGAATCACTTGAACCCAGGAGGTAGATGTAGCAACGAGCTGAGATTACGCCACTGCACTCTAGCCGAAGCAACAGAGACTCAGTCTCAAAAAATAAATAAATAATAAAATAAAATGAGAACATCAAAGTTAGAAGGTGGTCTAGTAGCTGCAAGCCAAGTCAACTTCATCACAGTTGGCAACACTGCTCATTTACTAACAAAACTGAATTTCACGTAACACAATAAAATTACATATTATATCTGGCTTCTTCTGAAATTAATGGGTAACAATCAAGAATTTTTATAACTCTAAACTGTTATCTACTGCTTTACTTAATAAATGCTGGGGCTTTTTAACAATCGAAGGAAAGATCACAGAAAAAGCAGTTTCTAGATAAAGGCTGCATATTGGCTAATGGTAGTAGCTCATTCTGATGACCCTGGGCATCACGGCTAGCTTTCCAGTAAGAAAAGCTGCATTTAAACTCTTTAAATAAGTGAAAAGTTAACACTGCATACCATCTCACCTCTAAATATACTTGCCTATCTCCTGATTTAGTCATCCCTTAACATTTAACAACTCAAGTTGTTTATTGCTCCAGTTCACTAATCATTCCAGAGTTTTCCCAAAAACTGAGCTAAAGGTAACCACAAAATAGTTGTGTTCATCATATAAGCCAGAGCTGGGTTGATTCCTAGTTTAAAAAGTCTACCGAAAACATCAGTTCAACTGCTTCTCTGACATATATTTAGATATTATTAATCAGGTCATTATACACAAAACCAAGAGTAGTTATACTAGATTAAATGACTACGTAATTTTTGTAACTCTAACACTTTTGCATTACAAGGAAAACAAATCCATGTCCTACCTACTTAAAGTATTATCTTTAGAGGGACTGGGAGGCATTATCTTTAGAATTGATTTTTGTCCTCTGTTTTCAAGGAACATTCAGAGTCTATGTAGGACACATCGTCAGTTTGGGAAAAAAACAGGGAAGGAGCAGCAATAAAATATGTTCATGTATTTTGAAAGGAGTTGCAGGAAAAATAAGTATCTTAAAACTGAGAGCTACGTAAATAAACAGTGTTTTGAGTAGTGACTTGTGTAGGAGAATATGGTTGATGTTTCAAATCTAACAGAAAGATTAGAAAAATGAAACAAGTTCCACTGCTAATATTACTCAATATTTATCTACATCATTTTATTTTTGCTAACATTCCCAAGCCTAGAAATGCCTTTCAAATCATCAAAAGGGTGTACACTGACAACCTGAAAAATGCTTTCCACACTGGGAGAAACAGTATTTCCCAAGTTGTTCTGAGAAAAGCTGATAAATTTTCAAAGAAGTCACAATATGGACCTTTGGAGGTTGTAAAGAATGCAAACCAGTTGAAAATGGAATCCTCATGAGCTTTCATGTTAGAAAAAACTCAAAATTACATACACTGGACTCTCATCTTACAGTGTCCTTTATATTTGCCAAAATATACTTATTAATAGAAAGTCTTGACTTAGAACTAAATCTTACATGTGCAAACAGATTTGAAAGTTGAAACTTAGAACTAATATACCTATATCTGTAAAATTTTATAAACCATAAACTGCACCACCACGGCTATATATTGATTTTCTCCTCTTCCCTCAGTAAATGGGCTGAAAGTTTGTGGAATGACATGCTACCTAGCTGCAACCACACAGTCAACTATTGCTCATACGATTTTTAAGTAAGGTTTACAACAGTAATCTCCGACGTCACGACCAGAAAACACAAAGAAAAACATATTTAAAAATTGACACTGAAAATATAGAGGAACACATTTCACTTTTTTCGACATACAGTTACCCAAGTTTATACAGTGAAGCTGGAAAACCTTACATTTAACAAAAAATAATTTTTCAAACAAGATTAGAATTTGTTCTACTAAAACCTACCTCTGTTTCCCCTGCAGCCAAAAAAGGACGGGGGGCGGGGAGGGAATTACGAAAAATATATATAGTCATTTTTAATACTAACATAATGGAAAAGGACAAAATGACAAGGTTAACGAGCAAGAGACAGGGTTAGCATTACGGCTAGTCTTTCCCTACGGATCCACAATTCCTAACCCACATTTCTGCCAAATCCACATCCCACCCTACACAGTCCTTACCCCTCCACCCACTCACCCACCCACCCCATTCAGGACAGCGATCACCTTCAGCGCAGGTATTTGAAGTCAGCCCCATTTCCTGTAGACAACCGACTAGAAGGTCTCAGGAGTGACTGAGTCAGACAATAAGAAAATGATGAAGTAAGAAATTAAAACATGTAAGTTGTAAGGTGTGAGGGGGAAGGGTGTCTCACAAGGGGCTGAGGGTGCGGGTGAGGAGACAGGAGGAGACTTGGGGCGAGAGGGGGGTCTCGAAGGAGTCCTAGGCAGGGGTGCGCAGGAGAGGCAAGTGAAGCAGCTCCAGACAGCAGACTGAAAAAAAAAAAAAAAGCCAGAGCGTTTCCTCCGGGAATAACCTGAGGAAAGGGGCTGTCGGGACGCCGCGGCGGGAAGTAGTCCCGGAAGGCACCGGAGGCCGGGAACTCACCACCTGGTAGCGCCCCGTCCCCAGCTGGTGGTGATCCATCCTGCCCGGCTCAGGATCCGGCTTCCGAGCGGGCGAGTCCCCTCGGTGCTCAGCTCCCTCGGCCACCCCCGCAGACGACGTCGTCGCCGCAGGACCCCTTCCGCCTCTGCTCCTGCCGCCGCGGTCTCCAGGCGGAAGCGCTTCACTTCCTGTGGCTCCGGCAGCGGCCGCCGAGACCTCCGCGTCGGTCGCGGTTCCGCGGAGGAGCTCCGGGACGCCGCGCGCGCTACTGAGCATGCTCGGACAGCTCGCGCAGACTCGCTGGCCCCGCCGGCGTCCCATCCGCGCTGCCCGTGGGAGGGTGTAGCTGGGTGGGTGGAGATGGAAAAGTAAGGCAAGTCCGGTGGAGCGATCTAGATTGTCAACCTGTCGAGTAGGCGGTCGCAGAAGGCGCGTGGGAGGGGGGAATGACCGGTCCTTGACTGGTCTTTTTGGTGTGTGCGGGTTTCGCGCAGGCACGAGCTGGTGCGCCTTCTCACCACGTAGACACAAGAAGCTGGCCGGGGTGGGAAGCGTTCCTAGAACGCCTGAGGACAGATCGCCCGGGTACCCGACCCTTCCTTGTATTACTCACCCAGCCTAGGACGTGGCGAGGAGATTCATCTCTAGGACATTCCTAAAACGATCATTCAAAATCATTCATGAGATAAGGGATTTTTTTAAAAACTATTTTTAATATAGAGCAATTCTAGTTTACAGCAAAATTGAGAAGTTACAGAGATATTCCATATAGACTTTGCTGCTACACAAGCATAAACCCTGCACCCCCATTATCAACATCCACCACTAAAGTAGTACATGTATTACAAAATGAACCCACATTGACACGTCATCATCACTCAAAGTCCATAGTTCACCTCAGGGTTCACTCACCGTCTTGTATATTCCTTGAGTTAGGACAAATGTGTAATGACAGGTATCCATTATAATAGTATCCTACAGAGTGTTTCCACTGCCCTGAAATTCCTCTGTGGGATTATTTTGTTGTTGTTTGTTGCTTGTTGTTTTTTTAGAAATGGGATCTCACTGTGTTGCCCAGACTCCAGTGCAGTGGGTGTTCACAGTTGCAATCGTGGCTCACTACAGCTTCGAACTCCTCCGCTCAAGCTATTCACCTGCCTCAGCCTCTGGAGTAGCTAAGACTACAGGCACCAGCCCTTTGGTTACTTTTAAACTCTTTTTTCTACTTTCTGATAATAAGAGATTTAAGAATCCAAAGGACTCACCAGACAACTCTCAAAGAAAGAGGCCTCCAGACAACTCTCAGAGACCTCTGGCGTTCTAGGTTACTTTGGAGAACTTTAGAAGAAAGTAGTGAAATCAGATAGGATTATTTTGTGGTAATAATAATTCCAATGGATGTAACAGCAAGGTATCACTTGGGAGCATTATTAATAGTATCTCATGGTCTGGTTAACCACATATGACATACTATGTGTGTTTCTCACAAAGAGTATAAAGCATATTTCTCTAGTTGGGAGAAGAGTATGACAGGGCAGCAAAAAGTACGTTTTAACTCAAAGACCAATTTTCTACACCCTAAAAACTATGATGTTGCTTGATGTGGCCCAGCTATGTTTTTAAGGTAACACCACTTTTTCCCTAAATGATCTTACAGTGGAGCCTCCGAAGGGAAGGAAAGGGATCTGGGACCCCATTTATTTCCTTCATGAATGTCTAGAGGAGATCCTTGGAATGAAGACTGCCACTAGGTGAGCCTAATCAGCTGGTTAAAACAGCAAGATAAGATAAAGACAGAAACTCTTTGATAGGTTGGCAACTAAAAATGTAAGTCTTCCTCATAGTTCTTTTTAAAATCTTCATCGACTCTTCCTATTTGTGCCATTTTGACATGTCTAATAATAGAGAGCATTACTGTGCTGACAATAAGGCAATAATATCTCATACTTAAATATTTTTAAACTTGCCTTGTTTTCATCTTAATGTATTTAGTTTCTAAGCCAATAAGCATATGCCATTTTATTGATATTACTGGTATAAGCACTCGCTCTCACAATTTCAGTCCAAATGATATTGCCTCTCGATGACCAAAACAACAGCCAGTGTCAGCAAAATGAAATTAGATCCCTATATCACTTACGATCTATAAGAATTATTTTATTTATTTATTTTTTTTTTGAGACAGAGTTTCACTCTTGTTACCCAGGCTGGAGTGCAATGGCGCGATCTCGGCTCACCGCAACCTCCGCCTCCTGGGTTCAGGCAATTCTCCTGCCTCAGCCTCCTGAGTAGCTGGGATTACAGGCACGCACCACTATGCCCAGCTAATTTTTTGTATTTTTAGTAGAGACGGTGTTTCACCATGTTGACCAGGATGGTCTCGATCTCTTGACCTCGTGATCCACCCGCCTCGGCCTCCCAAAGTGCTGGGATTACAGGCTTGAGCCACCGCGCCCGGCTGTCTATAAGAATTATTTAGTACTGAATTTTATATGCATATGTGTTTTCATTAATCATTTATGTATTCATTTGTTTCTCAAATAGACAGCTGCTCAGAGCAGAGACACTTTCTTACACCCAACTCCGCACTGAGAACATAACAGTAAAAATCAAAGACTGACCAAAAACAGACATCTGGAATCCTGATAGAGTAACAGATTCTTTCTATTTTACCCTCCTCCCAGATTCTCTGAACATTTTGCTAATCTGGTGGAGAAACAAATTTAACAGGAAATAATATTTTTAATGAGGAAGAGAAAGAGGGGGAAGAGAAGTAGAACAACAGCTTGCTAGTATAGAGCCCTTTCTAAGCCAGTACTATGCATCTATTATTTTATCCTCATCGTAACTTCATGATATAGGCAAAATTGCACTCCTAGATTAACAGATGATGAAGGAAAATAAAGCACAAAGAGTTTCATCAACTAGTCTAATGTGAGATCACTAGTAGGTGGTGACAGACATCAGAGCCTCTACCATATTAAGCACTATATTAAGCTTATATTAAGCATAATGTACCCTAATAAGGAAAAGAGGAAAAGAGTCCTTGTCTCTTTCCTCTTCCTGGCCAGCACTACTGTGAAACGTGCAGAAGACGTAAAAAGATAGTGATGTATCACAAAAAGCCAGTCTAACTTCTTTAGTTCCCACCTTCCTGATCTATCTAAAATAATGGTTCTTATTCATGATCCCCAAAAGAGCCATTCTGAGCTTCTTTTGATCACTTTACAACTAAGCCCATGTGACCTATAATAGACCATTACAAGCAGAGTCACTGAGTTGTCCCACTAGGAGAAACTTACTTGGGATGCAATAGGAATAACAATATTCATTACCATTTTACAGACCTTGGGCAACATCTGATAATATTTTCAATCCCTGGTTTTATGGTGACAACTCTAGTTATCTAAGGAATTTGTGGTGGTGCCGCACTATAAACTACCTTCAGTAGAACTGTAGAATTTTAGTGTACTTCACTAACACCACTCATTCTGGCCTGATCAATTTTCATCTCCAAACACACAGCCAACCAAAATTTTACTAGTGCTGCTCTGCAGTACTGGGGCAGACATGGAGATAAGCTGCCCAGATCCCCTTTCAAGAAAGCACACTCCGCCCAGCTGGAAGGAATGTGGCTGGCAGACAACTTCCATTTGGTAGCTTTGTCAGTCTCCCTCAGCTTTCAACCTAAGGAGGTACTATTTTCAGGGTGGCACCCAGCCACTGACTGAGCAAGGCATTTGTACAAGGCTCTGGCTGTTTCTGCGAGACACTGAAGCCCTTTAAGGGACAAACTTTGCTTCAGAGCTCCCTGTGAAGCTGGCAGAGACTTTTCAAGCTCTGCGGCATATTGTGACCGCTCCCCCTGCCCAATCCTTTTTCTTTTCACAGATGTTGCTCCCCAGTGAATCTCTTGCACTTAAAACTTTATATCAGCATCTGCATCCTGGAGAACCCAACTAAGACAAGTACCAAGATGTATAGTGATAGAGCAGTGTTATCAAAATTGTGTTAAATAGTTACAACTATCATTTTACACAGTTGATGTTTCATCTTCAGAATAACCCTCAGTACTTTACATTGTTAGCATTTTCTCATGTGGACGTAATGTATCTGTAAGCCTTTCTACTAAGAATGACTTTGATGTTGTTCTATAGGGTGATGCTATATAGAGGTCATGGGGACCTCTTTGCCTGGGACGTGTTTCTCATTGGAAACCCCTCCCACCTTCCCAGAAGCAGGGTCAGTCCCTCCAGAGGTGACTTAGCAACTTAACATTCATCATCCTCTTTCTTATATCATCAGATGTATTGACCTGTACACCCAAATGCCAGGATTCTTCATTGGGATTCCCACCAGTTAAAGTGCAGTAAGACACGCCATTGCCTACAGAAAGCCATCTACACAGGCCTAAATCACAGGTAGGCAAATGTTCCAAATTTTCCTTACTACTTCACTGATTTTTAGTTTTTTATCACTTCCTCTGCTACATAGGACTACTCAAAGTAGCTATTGATGATTACTGTGATCACAGATCTTAGTAATTAACTGCATTTGGAATATGTATGGTTTTTGTATATCTACCTGTAGAATGACTAGAAAGAGGTAAAATTACATTATCTGAAAATTTCTCTATCTAATTAAAATTCACTAGCAATCATTTTCCAAATATTAAAGTTTAAAGTACACTTTAGAAAATATAAGAAACTATTGCTTTTTACTTATCAATGAAAATTAGCACAATAATGACTCCAGTTTTATCTCTTTATCTTGTATCATGTATATGTATCTTTTAATCAGTTTGTAGGATTGAACGTCAGTTTACCTTCACATAGCATTTCTTATTTAACTGGTTCTGAGATTCCTGTCATCTATTCAGCTCTATCATTTTAGAGAAGATATCTAAGTGAGCAATTTTACAATCAAATATCTACTTCTTTTCCCCCTCTTTACTCTCCTTCAGTATGTTGGAAGAATCTGAAATAAAACTTTTTATCAGTCAGGATTCAACTAGAGAAACAGAGTCAGTAGAAGACATATCCTAAGAGATTCATTGCAAGGAATTGGCTTACATAGTTGTGTGGGCTAGTCTGGCAAATCCAGAATCCACTGGGCAGACCCTGGAACTCTAGGGTTGGAGCTGAAGCTGCTGTCTACAGGTAGAATTTCTTCTTCCTCAGGGAATCCTGAGTTCTGTTCTTAAGTATGTTTAACTGACTCAATCAGACCCACCCAGATTATTGAGGATAATCTTCTTTACTTAAAGTCAACTGAGTAAAGACTTTAATTACATCTATTAAATCACCACAATGCCTATGTCAGTGTTTGAATAATTGGGGCTATAATCTAGCCAAGTTGATACAGAAAACTGACATTCCCTGTTTACTTAAATATAGCAGAC